GATTCACATCCTTCATGAGAATGAAAGAATGTGCAGAATAACATTTTTATTTCAGACAAACAAGTGGTTGATGTTGTACCAGGTTCCTTCTGAGTACGATAACAAACCATCCTGCAAATCTCAGAGTTTGATCAGCCCTGGTCACTTATTACAAGAAATACAAGGAACAAGGACCTATCCCAAGCTCCACAAGCTAATCTGTATCACAGTCTCTGAACCACATTATTTCCCCTTCCGCCAGCCCTCCCTGCAATACGAACCCCTTTTGATGCAAGTCTGGATTTCCTCAGGCTCTGAATCTTCCATCTCATCGGGGCTCCTGTTAAATTTACGAGGAATTATTTGCTTCTATCAAAATTATGCTTATTCAGAGACAAAAATCAACCAAGAATGACTTGACGGCGTGAAGAGCGAACACTTTAATCACTAGGCCACCCCACCTTGGCTCTAAGCTGTTCAAGGTTCCATTGAGTTTGCACATTTTATTCTGACACATATCTATTTCTGTGACAAAATGTCAATCGGAAGCAGCTGCTGGGAATATCAGATCTGCTGCATAGTGAGTGAGTGAGTTCAGTTTTACGCCACTTTTAGCAATATTCCAGCAATATCATAGCGGGGGACGACAGAAATGGGCTTCACAAATTATATCCATGTAGGGAATCGAACGCGGCTTCAGCGTAATCAGTGAACGCTTTAACCACTCGGCTACCCAACCAACGGTCTGCTGTATAGATGAGTGAGTGAGTGGGTTTAGTTTCACGCCACACTCACTCACTCTAGTGTATAGAGCAGTCGCAATAATTCCAACCAGCAAAAACAATCCAATCAGATTTTCAGCTAATTTGATGACATGATTCACACTGACATCACATACAATGAAGAATTGGACAAACTCAAAAACAACAACAGAATTTGTTTCTTGTAAATTTAATACATGATCAACTCAATTTCATCATGACATAAAATACGCCATTTTGCAGATCACAAATGTTGCATGCAGAAAAGACACCAACAGAATGAAACATTAGATATTTATCATTGGTTATACATCAGAGGGCAGGATACACTCCAGATTACAGAGGGTAAGCTGGCTTCAGCTATAGTGAGTGAGTGAGTGAGTTTGGTTTTACGCCGCTTTTAGCAATATCCCAGCAATATCACGGCGGGGGACACCAGAAATGAGCTTCACACAATGTAACCATGTGGGGAATCAAACCCGGGTCTTCGGCGTGACGAGCTAACGCTTTAACCACTTTTTACCCCACCGCCCCTCTTCAGCTAGACAACATACATGTCAATCCGAACACCGTCACAAATAAAACAAAATTTCAACAAAATTCTGCCATCATGTCCATTGCCCACTTTAGGTGACTCTCACAAGAAAGCTGTCTGAACTATAAAACTCTCAGATCCCAAATCCTGATCAAGATGAACATAAGCATCTAGAAGATGGAAGAACAATGCGAAATAAATCTTTGTCTTAGCAACAAAATATTTACAATGACAGTTATGAGACCTCTTTAGCATTTTCCTGATAAAAGTAAATATTTAATGATAATTTTTGTTGTTTAACACAGTGCTCAGCAATTTTCCATCTATATGAGGATGGTTTGTAAGTAACAGTGTTTGGACCAGACAATCCAGTGACTGGCATCATGAGCATCAATCAATCTGACCAGTTCTAACCCGGATCTTCACAAGCAGAGACAAACATGGGTTGCTGAAGACCAGTTCTAACCCGGATCTTCACGGATAGATGAGACCAGGTTCCCGACGAAGGGGCAAGAGGAACACTGAAATGTCTCACATAATAAAGGATATGTTATCATTCGTAAACAGTTCCCCTTCTTGCAAATATACGCCAAGACAAGTCCATCCTGAAACTGTCGATGATTACGATGATGTTGTGATACACATCGGACACGTCTTTTTGTGATACACAAGGCTGGACTGATAGGCATATACTTTACCACAGAGACACGTGAAAGAAACCTTTTCATGAACAGACTTCATGTGGTTCCATTTGACTCCATAGCTAGAAAACGACATGTTACACTTGGGACATAAGTGTTGGTCCAACTTGGGGGGTTGTTTTCTTGGGTAATAATTCTGATAAAAGGGCGAAAACTGACGCTGCTGTTCGTTCATCCTGTTTTGCTCAACACCCATGTTACCATGGTAACTGGCGAAACCAAGGACACCTGCAAGTAACAAAAAGTCCTTTGTCGTATCCATGTTAACATGAGAAGTGGCAGAGAGAGACCAGGCTGGATTATCTTGGGAAATACATTTCAAGAGGCGTAAAAGGCAAAATAGTGATGGAAATTATATGAATGGACCACTGGTAATCGGCGATCACTCAAAGTGTGTGGATACAATATAAACAGCCATTATTTGTATTATCATTTTACAGATTAAGAAATAAAAATGCAGTAGAGAGGGTTCTGGTGATCCTGGAAGTCAGGCTGGTAAGGCTCATCAGCAGCTCAGGGCCCTTGGCCCCTCTACACGCAGCCCAGGAAACGCTGCCTAGTCGAACCCACCAAGAACTTTCCAGAGAATATGAAGGCTCCCCCAGGCTCCCTTCTGCATTACTCTGAATGTCAGGGCTGTGCTCCCGGTGGAGAACCTGGGAACTCTCCTGATCTGCGCCAAGAAATTCATTGCCCGATGGAGCTGTTAAAGCTATTTCCCTGAGGCAGTTTAAAACCATGATAAATCAAACAGAAACTCACAATTACTTTGATTTAAATTTTGGGACTAGATTTGATCAAATCATCCACATGTCGGAACTATCAAAATTTAAGAACAACGGTGTATTTTTATATTCAAAGATACGATGTGAAAACTACCTTATACAGTAACGGTGCATTGGATAACTCAACAAATAGTGACATTCTCAACTCATTACACCAGTTCATTTCTAAAAGTAAGCGCTTGCAGTGGGTATCACCTCTACATATACATGTATATTCATTGCAAGACAGGATTTCTATAACTTGATTTTCTGCGGCAGCTAATTTCGTTGCTAGGCACACCCAACACCATAACCAAATATTTATTATTCAATCATTTTTCTGAGTGTAAGTTTGTCTCAGTATTATTCTTTTCTTGTCGGACTATTTCAATTATGTATCCAGCTATATTAGAACCGTGTACTGGAGCGACGTTTATATAAGCCACTAGGCCTATCCAGGTTTCTGCTTTGACGGAATAAAAACATGTTTAAACCAGATCAGGAGGTACCAAACCAAGGGCATCGTGAACAATGGGGAGTCTAAAGACAGTGTACTTGGGATTCAATTATTATTAATATTTTATTAACTGTTCACAAAAATGGTAAGCCTATCTTGCTCTGCAGAGTTTGGTCAAAATGACACAACATTAAATGTATTCCCTGTGTTAGGAATGAAGAGGTCCTACAAGCAGTAAGCTCAGTTCAAGTACTGTAAATCACGAAATTTTTGCGAGCAAGATATTTTTGCAAAAATTGTGAATGACTTGAGCTCACGAAAATATCATGACGCAATTTATTATTCAGCAGTTGGTATAATCAACAACAGATCTAGACGACACATCAATTAAGCAATTACGACAACTTGGGGGAAGACTAATTACCAGCATTACTAGTCCTCACGTGTCAAACAAGGGATACTCGAACAAAAGTTACTCAATCAGTATGTCTGATAATCCAGACAGGCGCCAACCACTTTACACACGTTCTATTTCTTTAAAGACCTTTTGATAGGCCGACACCATCCACCGGGCGTGGATAGGTTTCATCACACTTATCCGGAGATCAACAGCTTTGCTGATGTCATTGTCAACAATATAATAGAGGCATTCCAATTAATAGAATCCCTTTGAACTGTTTTAAGCTTATCTGGTCTGTGCAGCGTGTGTTGTTTTTAAGAAAACATCACTGATTGCATACACACGGAAGTACTCTACTGAGCTCAGTTCAAGATTAGTGGCAGACCCAGTCTAAGTAAACTTAGGCTCAGTATTATTCGTTACACTTCTATACTGAGTCTAACAAAACCTTGTGGATGGTCGCGTCAGCTGACCTTTTCAATGGACCAATGAGAACACAGCTTACCAAATCGCGAAAGTTGACATTCGCACATACCTTTTGAACTTTTACCTTGAAAAGTTTTGTACCCGAAGCGATTCGAGAATGCTACTATTTTCAATGCGATGAAACTTCGGTGATGCACATGGAGCACGCAACAACGAGTGAGTAAACGATTCGCTGAAAATAGCGTTTTGTCAGTATTCAGGATGTCAGCTTTGGAAATATTAGCTAATGATAACCATGGCAACAGAAACCCAAAAGCGTATATTCTGCAGGTCATATATCTGTGTTCTATGCAGGTTTTCATTTGTTAGGAGATCAGTGTTGGAGACTGGGGAAGAGAAAATCCATTTTGTAAGTCCCGCCAAACCCTAAATAATAGCCATTGTCTGATTGGTTAAATCTGTTTGTCCGTCTCGTGTATGATTGGACAGTCATAGGTCGCTCAAAGGTTACCTGACGCGACCTTCCACAAGGTTTTGTTAGACTCAGTATAGAAGTTTAACGAATAATACTGAGCCTAAGTTTACTTAGACTGGTGGCAGACCTTTAATATGTGATTGGATTTAAATTAGGTAGAACTGTCAGTTGCAATCTACTTTTGAGAATGGGGAACATTCCTCAGTTATCTCCCTTTACAGCTTGGCCAAGAGATGGCGCCAATCACTACGGTCCTAAGTGTACTTCCGGCATAATGATGGCGTTCAAAGTTTGTTGCACGGTTGATTTCAAATGCGCAGCAATATTACGATGCCTGAAACGTGCTGCCGTGCCTCGGGATGCTGCAATAGAGGTTCGACGTGTCCGAGAGGTCAAAACTTGCTGAAGTGGTGGTTGACTATCATTCGAAGTAGCGACGAATGAAACAAAAAGCATGACGAGGTAGCAGTCAGCTCTTGCTGGTCTCACTCTCAGTGTTGTGTGCCATTTCCATATCTTCTGACAGAGCTGATTTTGTTACTGTAACTAATTATGGTAAGTACCTACGTATTTTGTAGCTTTACAGTTTGAAGAAAGCGTTGTTATTGTTATTCTCCTTGCCAAATTTGGATTAGCATGCCAAATACCGAAGAAATTCGAAAGCAGGGTTTTAGAATGGATTCAGGGAAAGAATGTGTTGCTTAAGAGGACACATGCTGTACAGAACTGTTCGCCTTGAAACGCATTAGGGGCCCCTCACTGTAGTAATCATCAAAACGCATAGTACACTTTAGCTTTACAAATGGTGCAGCCAAAGTCACCATCTGTAGAATGCCACTCATGTTATCGTTTGAAATCGGCACCTCAGTGAAGCTATAAACATGATAAAACAGTTTCTGTAGTAGTTAGGCTTTATTCATTGTAAACATTATTTCAAAATGTTCCACCGTACTTGAACACAGCTATTGCATTCTAATTTCAGGTTAATCTATTGAATTTATTTTCAACTATATTTCAATTATATCTAAGCAAAGCATTCATCACTTGATATGGCCTGTTGATTTTACCTGCTTGTCTTCTCTCATACAACACCTGGTCATGCATCTTAAATACAGTTGTCAGTTTGACACCGAGTTACATTGAGTAATTTACTTAAAATTCTAATGTTTGTGATATTTTCACATATGCTTATATCTCCTGATGACAGGTAGGTAGAGTAGGCAAGTAAATTGGAACCCCCAATTTATTATTTTCAGTGTTTTAAGGTAATTGGCATTTCACAAGTAAATTTTCATGTGAACCTGTGGGTTAACTTTCATTTTCTTCTTGCTTTAAAAAGCAAACTAGCATCATTATATACATGTGTGCAAAGTTGTTTATGTTTGACAATAACACCTTTGCTCCCTTCATTGTTGAATTAAAATTTACCAAGAATGCTAATACACAATTGACTTTTCCCCTTTAATGCATCACATTACATCTCCCTACAGGTGCCTGCTTTCCCCAACGATGAGGCCCAGGTGATTCCAGAATACACATGCTACAGGTTAGTGTTTGTTTACTTTTGGTATGAATTTGTCTGAATAATGTCTGGTGTACTTGTTGAACACACTTCTTTGTATCAGAAAAAAATTTAACAAGGAGAGTTACTTGCTTGATAACGGTGTTAGTAGCTACACCACAATGTTGCTCATATTATATTAAAGAAGTTGATTATCCATAGAACTATCCTTGTTGTTCATCATACCAACTTTTAAATGCCACTCAGAGAAGAAAAAATGTCAGCATATTTAAATTATGCTTCTCTGTAGTTGAAACATTTGTTAAGAATAATGTTTTCCACCTTTGACCTATCGGAATGAATATGTTCATTATGTGACATGTCTTTTTCTACAATAGTAACTTAAATCTGATAATGATACATTTTCTGATAACTGGCAGTCATGAGATAACATTACCCTGTATCAGTTTGGATAGTAATACTCCACTGATGTTTTCCAGGATGAACACGTCTGAGGCAACAGAGAGAAACAGATGCTGTATGACTGATTCTTTCCCTGGACTGTATCAGCTGACCCACTTAATGTTGGTGGATACTTGTGATGTTGAATGTAACTTTAGTGAGGTCGCTGGGGAGGAAACAATCACCCATGATGATTTTGATGGCAAGAATATTGAGCCAAACATTTTCTCTCCAGACTGGGCACAGGCCAAATATGAAAGTACCTGTATATCAACACAGAGACAAACATGCAGTGCTTCCAGTACTCACTATTATGCTTAGTGCTGCAGCAATTTTCATTTACACAGGACTGTCAAAGTATTCAGACTTCACTTTTGTACTTCCATTTATGGTAGCATATGCATGTCACCTAAATTATCTGTACAGCAGTATTGACAGTATGATTGTCAGTGTGGAAAACATCAACATGCATCTGATGTAAGTGTTAATCAAGGTTTTCAAAGGAGACCATCACATTTTTTAACTGTATGAATGTCTATATTTATGAATGTCCATTACATGCAGAATATAATATGTTGAACAATAAAACTGAAATGACAACCCAGACTTTGTTGATTTTTTGTCTGATGATAGTGACACAGGAGAATAACCTTAAGTATTGTAGAATCTCAATTGTACCATTTGGACTACCATTTAAAACTTAAATTATTCCTTGTTTCAGTATTTCAAATACACACTGTGTTCACTGACACTGTCAGTCCATTATAATTGTGATGAGCCTTGATGTAATTTGCAAACCCTTCACACATGCTGGAATAACAAATGTGAAATATTTTGTATTCAAATTTAAAGGCTCCCACCTTAAAGACAATGTACCCGATACCCCTTGCTTCTGGCATCATATAGTTCGCGACCTCCAGTAATGGTTCAATGTGTTTATAATATTTCAGTATTTAACCCATGCTTAGTTACATTATTTGACAACACCTGAAACACAATTTCAAATAATATTCTTGTGTTTTCAAAATGTGATCTGTCATTCAGATACTGGTTATTTGTGTTGAGAAGAGACAGCCTTTAAAAATGGTACAGATTGGGGTGGGGTCCCAAATGATACTTAGAAATATATTGTGCAAGCAATATGCCAATATGGGGTGTGTGTGTGTAAGTAAATTTGTACATAAAAAAGATTAATGCTTAAAATTATGGGGTGGGTTTAATTGATTTTGAATATGACATATGCAAGGGGTGTGACTTACTTTGTACATGAACTATAGGGAGGTCATTCACATTGTACATAAAAATCATCACCAACACCCACCTCACTAATTTATGAGCGGTCCTTTAAATATGTATGTAGAAACTATTAACGGAAGTTGTGAGCTTATTTATCGTGTGAATGGGTGTAATATATATTGTTGAACACACACTGTCAGAGTCGTTAATTCGATGAAAATGATTTATGTTCGTTGCCATATCATTTCCTCTTTCCATTGCATCCCAAAGCGTTATTGGCTATGAACATATGTTGTTTACGTGAGCGAAAACTGAAGCACCTCTATGTTTGTAGCGTAATCAGGTCAGCTATGCGTTATTTGTAATAGCAGCTAATTTCAGTGTACACTAATGCTATGTTCTAACAACTATTCACGAAGCGCCATTAATCCTCTGTGTAATGTGACATAATGGGAGTAAATGGTTTGGCAATTTACAAAGCAACTACTCAATACGAAATTCAGAAAGCGGCAATATTACAATAACTGCAGTACCCGTTCTGTTAGCATTATTTTTCGTCCAGACAGCTAGTTCTTAGTGGCTTTGACAATAGTAGTCAGTCGGGACAACTTCCAGCTTCCGTAATTCGTAATATAAGAACCACAGAGTTAAAAGTAGGTTTAATGTCGATTTAAGTTTAGGCTTGGCCGATAGGCAGGCCAGTATCAGAGTGACAGCTGCTGTTGGACCATAACTACTGCAGCGCTGCAGGCGGGCAAGGGGGCGCAACTCCAGGAATGTTCCCCATTAGGCAAGTTGAAAAAACATCATGAGGCAAAAACGTCTGTTGGTCGGTATCCGCAAAAATATCGTGACGCAAACATTTGTGATATACAGTAGTCTGTACACACAGTTCCCACAAGTATTTAAAGTTGAATCCTAGACGGGATTATTTTAAAACTTTGTGAGAATGTCTACTATACCGAGAAAGATTAATCCCAAATATAACATTTGTTGCATCAGGAGTTAAGACCATTGAATCTCTTGTATTATTTCAAACACTGTCTATAATTATGTAGCGTCTGATAAAATATGATGCTATCGCCATTGTTATGCAAGTGATATGAATGTTTAATGCACATGGAGTGTCACTGATGTAGTAAATTAATGCAATAACCTTGGAATCATGTGGTAAATATGCAAATGACGACACCTGGATGAAAATACTTCAAAGCTCAATAAGTTTATGCAAAATATCATTGATTAAACATTACCTGAATTCACTAATAAGTTTAGATAGGACTTTCCTGATGTGTGGCTGATTCTGTGAACAAACATGGCTGCACACAGAGAGACCTTGAACAAACACTCCAGTCCTGAACAGTTTCTAAATTTAGCAAATAGGTACAATGGGTGAAGCCCATTTCTGGTGTCCCCCGCTGTGGTATTGCTGGAATATTGCTAAAAGTGGCGTAAAAATAAACTCTCTCACTCACTCTAACTTTACCAAATGAGTACAATGTGTGAAGCCCATTTCTGGTGTCCCCCGCCATGGTATTGCTGGAATATTGCTAAAAGGGGCATAAAAATAAACTCACTCACTCACTCTAACTTTACTTAACCGAGTGACTTTTAAGGTTAAATAATAAACAACTTAAACAATCCCTTATGTGTATGAATGTCATAAATGTCATACATTACAAATGAAAATTATGTTGCCAAAGTCTAGCATTATGCAGATCTTTTTCTAATAATATGAGATAAATGATATGGAAACACAATCGGGTAATAATCTCTCTCTGAATATATTTGTTTGTTGTTTAATGCCACAAGCAGCAATATTCCAGCTATATGGTGGAGGTCTGTAACTAGTGTCTGGACCAGACAATCCAGTGATCAATAGCATGAGCATCAATTTACCACCCAGTCCTAGTCTCCATATAGAATACAAGCATGGTGGCAACACACAAAAGATATGATTCGTTCAACCATTAAAGAATAGCGATTAGGTAGCAATGACACCAGCTGTGTTTCCATGCAGGAAATGTGAGATCTTTTTTTGCATGATATAGATGATCAGTGTTTTATGTTTTAAACTTGTTTTGACCTGGAAATCAAGGCTGCCATACAGCTGAAATATTGCTGAGTGCGATGTTTAACAACAAAAGAAATCAAAGGTTGGTACAAAGTATTTGGAACATGTGAAGATCCAGGTTAGAATTGATCTTCAGTAACTCATGCTTGTCGTAAGAGGTGACTAACGGGATCGGGTGGTCAGGCTCACTGACTTGATTGACACATGTCATATCCAAATTGCGTAGATCCATGCTCATGATGTTGATCACTGTATTGTCTGGTCCAGATTATTTACTGACCACTGCTTTATCTAGACACTGTACTGAGAAACACTGGGCAGACCTTGTGGTAGACCCCAAACTGGTCCTTTGATAGCCACCATTCTAGTGTGGTAATCACCTTTATCTAGACACTGTACTGAGGAACACTGGGCAGACCTTGTGGTAGACCCCAAACTGGTCCTTTTGATAGTCACCATTCTAGAGTGGTAATCACCTTTATCTAGACACTGTACTGAGAAACACTGGGCAGACCTTGTGGTAGACCCCAAACTGGGTCCTTTTGATAGCCACCAGACTGGACTGATACACATACACCAGCCAAACGACACCTTTCTAGTGTGGTAATCACCTTTATCTAGACACTGTACTGAGAAACACGACTACCCCAGCTCCCCATGAGGTGGTTGAGTAGCCGATATATGTTGGGTATATTGGTATAGTTGGAGACATTGTTTTTCAAAATCATGTTTGGGGCAGTGGATTAGCTTAGTGGTGAAAGAGTTTTAATCTGATTCTCAGTTGGATGTGCTCTGTTAAAGGTTTGTATTCCAGACTGCAAGGCTGTGTCACTTTGAATAAAATCATTATTGTCCAGCATTTGTTCACCACTCTGAAGGCCTGGGTTCGATTTCCCACAAGGATACAAATTGTAAAGCACATTTCTCATGTCATTTTGCTGGAATATTGTTAATAATGACGCAACATAATACTCACTCAAAGAGAGATAGAAAAGATTTCAGGTCATCTGATAAATTTGAACACAGTGGAGTCTAACACCCTTTAAATTTAATCCCAGTCGATCAACATTGATCAATATCCACAACAGAACAGCTCAGTCTTAAAATTTATGAATTCGGAATTCCTTCATCAAATTTTACTAGAGATACAGAAACCACATGTGCTGAATGTTTCACTTGCTGGAACAGAGACTTCGGGAAAGCTTGATACTGATTGGTTGATCAGAAAGTTCACCTAAAGTGATGCTAGTGGCTTGTAGTGTTGGGAATTGGTTAAAATCCCATACTTGATGATTGGTTTATTACAACCGATCAATCATCGTAAAAAATTGGTAAGCATCATTCATGAAATTTGTTAATGCACATAAAAATAAGAGAAAAACATGTAGTTCTTTTGGGGCTTTTTGGCCAAAATTTCACATCCATAATGGATGACTAGTATGTCAGGAACATAAATTTCTTGGAGTCTTTAAGATAAATTCAATCATGACTTGAAACAAGCTTGTAGTGCTTATGAAATGTAACAGACAAAACCAACCTTGTGAAAAATACTGTTTATGAAAACAAGTGTTCCAGAATTGTTTGTGTTCGATTATGAGAAAACATGATCGATTGCTTGGTCGTTTAGTCACTGCGACCAATCTTCGATTATTTCAATCAATCGCACCACTACTAGTGGCTTGTCAGACCTTCACACAGCAAGGTATTGTAGATTGTATTTCAGATTATATTTGATCAGGGGTGTAGCTACCATTATGAAAAAAGCCAGGGCTTACACATGATTGTTGCTAAAAAGGTTGGACAAGCCCTCAATACTATTTAAATATAAAGCTTTGCGGCCTATCGGGCTTACATGACAACACTGGCTTGCTACGCGCCTGTTGATGGCATGTAAAATTTATGATCCATGTTTTATGTTTTATTGAACATATCAATGATACACAAATGTTCTCATCCAATGAATACAGTGGATCACAACTGTCACAGACCATAAAGCATAAAAGCTGTATGTTGTAGAGAAGATGGTCGATAACATGGTTATTGACCTCCTGTCTAGTCTCACTGACAGATGCTGTTTCCTCATTGGCCCAACAGGTGCCCTCATCTTGCAGTGAGTGGTCCATCCACACATCCATTATCCATGCACATATCAATAATCCATTTTAGTTTGCAACTTTATACACTTGTCCAGAAAAGTTCTGGTTGGTCCAGTAACCTGATCTTCAGTAACCCATGCTTGTCGTAACGTGATTGGGTGGTCAGGCTCGCTGACACATGTCATCGTATCCCAGTTGCATAGAGCGATGCTCAAACTGTTGATCACTGGATTGTCTGGTCCAGATTTGATTATTTACAGACCCCATATAGCTGGAATATTGCTGAGTGTGGCGTAAAACTAAACCCGCTCAGCTAGAATAGTTCATAAAACAGTAAAATCCGGTGACAATGATTATTTGATTCATGTTCAGGCAAGTGGTCTCCAAATGTTTTGGAGCAGACAGCATAATTTGGTGCAGCATTACAGTCAAAACAAGTCAGTCTCAAATCAATTAACTGGAAGCTTTTTTAAATTTCATATTGAAACAGTCAACAGGCCGTGTCTTGCATGTGATGTTTCTCTCAAAGCAATGATGGATGACAATGACACCTGATGCATGATGCATGATACATGATACACACACTTTAGCAGTTCAATGTCTGCCATCCTTACCCATCAAACCTGCTATCTGACTGATCTGACAATATTCCAGCAACAGCTCAACCAGAAATGTCTCACCATCATTACCCATCAAAGCCAACCATTAGGCTACCCCACGCCCACCAGCTATCTGACTTCAGCAGCTCAATAATGTCTACCATCCTTACTCATCAAACCAGCTATCTGACTTCAGCAGCCCAATGTCTATCACCCTTACTCATTAACCCAGCTATCTGACTTCAGCAGCCCAATGTCTATCACCCTTACTCATTATCAAAGCTATCTGACTTCAGCAGCCCAATGTCTATCACCCTTACTCATTAACCCAGCTATCTGACTTCAGCAGCCCAATGTCTATCACCCTTACTCATCAAACCAGCTATCTGACTTCAGCAGCTCAATAATGTCTACCATCCTTACTCATCAAACCAGCTATCTGACTTCAGCAGCTCAATGTCTATCTACCATCCTTACTCATTATCAAAGCTATCTGACTTCAGCAGCCCAATGTCTATCACCCTGCTATCTGACTCAGCAGCCCAATGTCATTAAACCAAAGCTATCTGACTTCAGCAACTCAATAATGTCTACCATCCTTACTCATCATTATCAAAGCTATCTGACTTCAGCAGCTCAATAATGTCTACCATCCTTACTCATCAAACCCAGCTATCTGACTTCAGCAGCTCAATGTCTACCAACCTTACTCATCAAACCAGCTATCTGACTTCAGCAGCTCAATGTCTGCCATTGGATGACAATGTCAATGCTAGATGAATGCCACCCGTGACTTCAGCAACTGAGTACTGTCTGTCATCTTGACTCGTTAACCCAGCTATCTGACTTCAGCAGCCCAATGTCTATCACCCTTACTCATTATCAAAGCTATCTGATTCGGTCTCTCACTGTCTTGCAAAACCTTCTGAAGTCAACAAGGCTGCATGTTCAGATGTTGCTTAACACACACAAATTGAACCTGTTTTCATTTCAAGATACCACACTGAGATGTTATTGTTCCACACTTACATGTTATTTCCACACTTAGATGTTATTTCCACACTGAGACTAACTACCAGATCAGCAGCTTCACAATTTCCACAATCAGCAGATTCCAGGGAGCTGTAACCAGTTGGTCAGAAGATTTGTCCAATGTCCAGACATCCTCAATTGTGACACTCATTTCTTTGCAGCACAAACCAGATCATGTGAACACTTCAGTGTATGACAACAGTGAGTGAGTGAGTATGGTTTTACGCCGCTTTTAGCAATATTCCAGCAATATCACAGCAGGGGGCACCAGAAATGGGCTTCACACATTGTACCCATGTGGGAATCGAACCTGGGTCTTCGGCGTGACGAGCTAACACCTTAACCACTAGGCTACCCAACTGCCCCCAGATGACAACAGTGTATGACAATAGGGTTTGGTACTGCTGCAGACCGTTCTATAAGACTCCAGTTCATCCCAAGCAATGGCTGAGACTGATCTGTCACAGGTTGAGAGTAAAAAGACCTCCTTATATAGGAACTACACAGGAGTTGTATAGCAACTACTGAATGATCAACTTTAATTAATTTCAACAGACATTAGAAGACCACAGCCTTCTACAGCAGCTTGTAACCTTGGTCACTTCAGTAAACCATGACGTCTCAACATACAAGACTGACATTCAGATTGAGAGTCAAATGCATGCATGGACTGAAGAGAAGTCATTGTAATGTATTCACAACACATTAATCATCAATGAAACAATGCAAACGTTTGATTCAATGAGGATCGCTGAACACGTTTTCCTTTTCCATCGTGAATTCCTTTTCTTTTGCAAATGAGTCGGTTTCTTTGATGAGTCAGCAATATTTCTTGCAATGAAAAGCTGTTCATCACTGACTTTCCATTAACGGATGCTCAATTCCTCCAGAAACATTTACACTGACAGTCCACTCAGCAATGTTTGTCAGTGTAGAGACAATCAATTCTAAACCCAAATGGGATACTCCATGATGACATGAAACAGTTCCTGAATCCAAAGTTGACAATCGCCGTTATGGCGGAGAGGTGACGGCCACGCACATCGGGCAAGTCTTCCTGTGGAACGACAGACTCGACTGATACACGTATACTTTCCCACAAACACACGAGAACGTGACTTTTTTATGAATGGACTGTATGTGGTTCCACCTGGCCCCGTGACTCGAGAAAGTTTTGTCACAGTGGAAACATGGATGGCTCCCAATAGCCCCCTCTGGATTTGTTTGGGGGGCAGGAAGTCTGCCAGCAGCCACAAGGGTAAAAGCAGCTTGATCGTTCAACCTGATGCCCGCGATTGGTCCTAGGCACCTTGAACCATGAAAACCTGAAAGCAACAAAAGGCTCTTTTTCCAATCCATTCAACACTTGAAGACAACGGTATTGATATGAATCTTGAAACACATGATGCAAGCTGAAGGATTTTTCATCCATTATAAGAACAACAGCATCGACTCATGCCCTAGACTCGTATCCCTGTTGTCTATTCCTCTGGTAGTCCAACTATTTGAGTATAGTTTTGCTATGTTGTGACATTAACAAAGCAGATCAGGATCAGGATTTAAGCATTTTCTCCTGAAGCTGTCACATCGGATCCTATAGGGTCACTGAATTCTTCATGCTACCAGGGTTTTACGCGACTTGCAAATGTGAGTCCAGTACGCACAGATGTGGACAATGGACACAGAAAAAAAACTGCGTTTCAGGACGCACATCTGTGACTTTGCTAAGTGTTTGGTTGTTTCTTTCAGAGCAGTTACGTGCATCATTTCATCCACAAGTCCACATGATCAATGATTCATTCTAGGTTCTAAAGTAATGATCAAAACATACAGTACTCTACACTGATACTTCACATTGGATGCAAGGACCCCTAAAACCGGGGACCCCCATGTTTGTTAGTCGAGGTGAAACCCTGTGCTAATATTGATATCATCACACAGACCCTGCCTTAGTAGGATCCTAGACCCAGACATAAGTGGTTTCTTCCTATATTGACCCTATCAAGTCAAACATACCCAGTCGAAGACTAAAACCTACGCATCAAGCAGACATGATGTTACATTACATGACTACTTTAAACAAACCATCCAATATTCAGGACTTCATCATCTTAATGATGTAGGTGGCGCCACACACATGGAACAGGTTTTCTTATGAAACAGAAGACTGGATTGATAAACATAAACCTGTCCCCACACGCAGGTAAATCTGACTTTCTGATGAATTGAGCGGATGTGATTTGCCCGAGCACCAGGTCCTGAAAACACCTTATCACAGTAACTACATGGGAACATTCCTGACGCCAATGGAGGAACCCTGACTCCATACAGCCAGTCATATTCACGTTCCTTCGTTGTGTTGCCGTATGTACTCATATAGGAATCATGGCCATCTGAAGTAACAAAATGGCTTGTTCTATTCCCAAGAGTGGAATGGGGCACTCTTATTAAATGGACACTGCCTTGAGACTCTTGCAGATCAGCACACACAAACATACGATCAGGAATCTGATCACAACCTTCAGTAACTGAGCTACAAAGAGATGTGGAAATGTCCCCATCCTTGAAAATATGTTTAAAACTCTGGCAAGTGGACTTCCATCAGTGGCAAATTATGAAAGAATCGAACGAGTGAGCGAGCGAGTTATAGTTCAGCAATATTCCAGCAATATCACGGCGGGGGGACACCAGAAATGGGCTTCACATTGTACCCATGTGGGGAATAGAATCCAGGTCTTCAGCGTGACGAGCAAAAGCTTTAACTATTAGCCTACACAACCGCCCCAAATCCACTTGGAGGCAAATATGGTACACGTCACTAATATTGAAAAACAAATACAACAAGTCAGCAGTTGATGTACTATTGATTATATTCAGAGAAACAATAGAAAAATACATACAATAGGATTGACAGTTAATTACTTGCTAATTACTTCTTCAAAGGATTCATAGATTGGTGACATCACATGTTAAGTGGTGCTTGTTATGATTCGCTGACACTGACTTTGACACTGAGATCATCTCAATTTACCATGAGTATTGCCAGTGCCACCAACACAAATTATATTATAATAAGAAGTCATAGTCAGTTACTGCACTACAGTTCAATGGCTACCCGCCTCCTAATAGAGGAAGGACTGGTTTAACTCTAGATATAACTCTATATAAACACACGTTTCGATGTTTCTGCTGGTGGACTGAAGTTTTCTAGATTCATAATTAGCTCGGTAGCAATGTAAGTATGCTCAGTCAATAAGGTCCTTGGTAATTTTTCTATATGTTGTTGAAAATAGATTACTGGAAACGTTTGTTTTCTTGTTTGAGATAGACTTACGTTTTAATCCATATAATGTGAATCAGAGTAAACAATTCTCATCATTTGGTTGTAGTCACTTTCCAAAGCCACAAGTGTCATTATCCAAACCATACGACACAATCCTTTGTATCTAACCCAGGGTCCCGTTCCTCAAAACAATCGTAGCGCTACCATGATCGTAACTCCCATACTTTAACATAGACTTACGACTGTCGTAGCGCTACGATCGCTTTGAGGAACGGGGCCCTGGACCATAAGAATTCAAAGCTAATGAATGACGCATTTCCCATTACTGACAGTGATAGCCATTACTACTTTCGATATCTACGTGACAGGTACAAATGGCTAGATTGTATAAAAGCCAAGGAGCCCACATCGCTGCTCGCAACTATATTTTTATATATATTTTCATTTTTACGTAATCTGAAAATCATCATAAAAATATTTCTCAAATAATATGTATGGTCATCTGTTTGCCAATATCAGTGGCTTTTCGCTCGGTAACATGATACAACAGAGGGAAATACCTCAGTTCTCGAAGCTTCGCATCAATAACATGTGAGGTGATTCATTTGATGGTGGGAATCGTTCAAAAGCTCTGAACATCAACAACATCACTGTATCCTTGCCAACAGTATTTTCACAGTTGTAAGAAGCGATTTTATTGGATAAAGATTGTTTTCTAAAGACGCTTATTTGCCAGAGTTTGCTGCAAGGATCATGATTGGTCAAAATCCATACACATGACCGAAGGCAGCCAATCATATAAGAGCAATGGATACTGTCCTCGTAAATGACAAAATGACGAAGGTTTTGGGTAAAATCATACTATTCTGAATGTGTTACGCAAAACATCACCACCTACACTTATATTATGGAGCTTAGTGGACGTATCGTGCTAGGTTATGGCCTGTGACAAAAAGGCTTCATGCATATATTTAAGCATTAAACATCGTGTCCGAGCACAAAGTTGAAGGCGGCGAAAGCCGAGATGTCACTTGAATATATGACACGATCGCTCAAATAAGATGGAAACAGCAAGTTGTAGCGTTCGTTTGACAACTATTTTTAGTACTGTTGTTGATTTTATTCTTCCGATTATTTGTTTAATTATATCATCAAAACATCATTACTCTGCTTTTTAACAACTTTGATGTG